TTGATCTTAAGTACAAGGTGGATGCAAACAAACTCAAGCGTATGAAGTTGTTTCAATCCATGGAAACTCGAGGGCGAGTTCTTTAAGAGAGAGAGTCTAATATAGGACAAGATTTAGAAATTTATATATTTGATCAGGTTTCTTAAATTTTAGGAATTTCTATTTAAGAGCTTTTATATTCGCTTTGATTTTGTTTTCCTAATTTTTCGGTAACTTGCTTTTCAAGATTTATTGTTTCCTAATTTTAGATTGCTTGGTCTCCAAGAGTTCATTTATTGAAAATACCTATGTAAGTTTAAGGAGTTAATAATCCAATCAATAATATTTTCAGGCAGTTTCTCTTATATTCCTTGTGGATTCAAGGTGTTTATTTCTTTCTAGAGATTCAAGAGCACATTTGCTAGAATGAAATCTAGCCACTTTCGTTTGTTAGAACGATATCTAGCTTTCCTCACTATTCCATTGTGTCAAGTAAGCACTTCAAACTTTGAATTCAAGTCAGAGTTGGTCATCATGTTGACAAAACAAAAGGAATAAATAGGTGTCAGATTTATTTTATTTTATTTTTGGCCACTACTTTGTTTTTTGGGCTAGATTGGTGGGTTGAAACAAAGATTTGGTGGTGTGGGTTGTGGATTGTTTTTTTTATTTTTATTTTTAAAAGCATTGTTGGGCTAGGGTTGGATTTGGTATTTGAAATCGGATTGGGCAGGGTTTATAAATGGGTTGGGGCTTGGTTTTGTATTGGGCTCAGTCCACTTAAAAGAACATGATCTTAGTTTGGGTTTTGGGTTTACGGGTTAAAAGAAATGGATCGATTTTAGGGTTTGTTTGTTGGTCAGGTAAGAGACCAAAATGAGTCAAAATCTCTACTTGTTAGATTTCGCTTCCTCGTGATGTCTATTCACAAGCCTGAGGTCTCGACGATGGCAATGAGAGGGAAGGGGTAGATGAGCATCAACAAAGACGGAGGCGACTGGAGGCACAGGGCAGTGCTGATGGTGGTGCAATGAGTAGTGATGCAAGGTCGTAGAGGGCCAGAGGCGACTGGAGGCACAGGGCAGTGCCGATGGTGGGCCGATGAGTAGCGATGCAAGGTCGTAGTCGCCTACTCCAGTGAAGGGTTTGATTGATGGTGACTTGTGTGCGACTGTGAGGGATTGCGACTTAGAGGATCTAGTCGGTGAGAAGATCATGACTAGGAGGATCATGTTGGGGGGGAAGATCGTGGCAAAGAGTGTTGTGTTGGCGAGAGGGCTTCATGATGGTAAAAGGCTTTGTCGATAATGGTCGCTTGTGATGACATGATCGTCATTGGTTTGAAGATGATGTGATGATAGACGACAATAGTTGTAGACGGTGTTAGTTTCGGAGTCTGGTTGAAATCTAAACATTGTGACTATGGTTACAGTGGTTTGATTCGTGATAAATAATGGATTGATGTTTTCTTTGATACTGAATTGATGTAGAACACTGTAGGGGAAGAGGAGATAAGGGAGAGAGGAGAAACACGAGGACTACAATCTTAGTACTCAATATTATTAATCCAAAGTTGAATATTACAATGCAAAACCCTAATATTTAGAGCATCTCCAATGCTAAACTGTCAAAATGGATAGCCAAAGCTATTTTTGGCAATGTTTAAAGTGCCAAAAATGCAAAAATTTAGCCATGTTCTAACGGTGCATTAGCCATATTTTGGCACAATAACCCTATGATTCAAGCTTCAGTGTAAGATGCGATCATGTATGTGTATTATAAATTTTAAACCTAGGGAAATGACAATTTTGTGAATTTTAGGCAGAAAGTCAACTTGTCAATTTAGTCCCCCTAGTTCCAATTATAATAATTTTACCATCTAATTTTGCATTTTGTGTTAAAATTGTCCAATTGAAATATTTGATGGAAAATGGCCTTGTGTTCCTCTGAATGAATAGACAAAATGGGAAAATGATCATATATTAATTACAGTAATGGCCCTTGTACTTTGTATAGGTTTGACTGGAAGAAATTTGCCCCTTTGATTTTGTAATTTTTTTTTAGTTAACCCAAATAAAATTTGTTAAACTTTTCTGTAGAAAATTAGTACATGTAGATCACACGCACCCAGTCTAGAGGAACATGATTGAGAAATGAATACATTTTGTTTGCATAGACCCACTACTGATTAACGTCTTTCTCTTAGTCTGGTTGATTGTGACAACGGTACGCACAACTACAATTTTCTCCACTTGAGCGCACATATCTTTGCTTGAGCACAAACTGGCTTGGATACGCATCTAAAACACTCTCATTCTCACAATAACAAAAGAACAAATGCAATTACAATTGAATGGAGTATTGCCCAACGGGATTGCGAACTACAAAATGTCTGCACCTATTATCTATGCTATGTTCTTCTAGATTGGATGCATGAGTTGCATGTGCTATTTTCTATATATAAAAGAAAATCTTTCAAACCATTTTCAGTTTGGACCAATTGAACACAAATTGCAAAATTTTTAGGCAAAACACAAAATTAAGCTACAAGGATCAAATTGACATAAAGGGAAAATTATAAGAACCACCAGTGTAAATAATTTTTATCCATTTTGCCACCGTGAGGAGCATGTGGCCATTTTTCATTTAAAATCCAACAGATTGTTACAGTTGGACCTAGAGGGACCAAATTGACATGGGGTTAAACTACAAAGACTACTAGCAGAAGAATCGACTAAATTGATTTGGTTAGTGACTCTCAGAACATTAATTGGAATTTTCTTAGATAAATGCTTCTATAAACTGAAGGATACAAACAACTTGGTCAAATTGTATTACTTATTGTCAAATCTAAGGATGACTAACCCCCCCCCCTTTTCCTTTTTTAAACTACTTGAGTCTCATCTTCCCTGGGATAGTGAGAAGTAATGTGTTTTCCATACTAGTGAAAGGATTTTTTAATGATGATAGGTTTGGTTTTCTGAGTGGATCGATTATATAGTTGAATGGTGCACTGCCCTTGCCATGTCCACATTATGAATATAGGCATACAGGCATGCATGTATAACTAGAGTTTTGTTTAGTTGGCTCGTATAATTTGTCAATCTAATATTATATCTGTTGGTTCTTTCATTTAGTTCTATCTTGTAATTTATGAAAACTCTTCCTGTATTTCACAGTTCTCGGAGACGACGTTCCCGCTTCTATGACAATTAATAAGTAGGTATGCATGACCCCGGGGTCCCAGCATTCTCTTTTCTATGCTTTAACTTCCTGTAACAATGGGTTCTTTTCTTTGATGGTCTTACGTTGGATTAAACATTTAAATATTTGATAGCATTTCTAGGTATCACTATCTCACCTGATTTTGAAACTTGAATTTCAACTCTATACTCTCATTCCGTCTCCCACTGCCTCATGTTTTGGATTATGAAGCAGGAGGCTACAGTTTACAAGGGGTTTGGTTGATAACTTCGAAGTTGTGTTTTGTTACTCATGTTGTCCTCTCCTTTTTAAATTTTCTAGCTGTGCTTGAATAGAGAGAAGTGGAGTGAACTATGGAATGGAAGAAAAATGCATAGAGATACATCACTCCATTCATTGGAAAGTGGAAGCAACTGGGAAGCTTGCAGCAGCTGCAGGTCTCAACATATGTATATGCTCTGCTGGTTAGACATAGATTTTCCATATATGGCTTTTGACAATTTCATGTCATGTCATTATGTTGGTTGCGACTGCTTTTGTTATTTGGATTTGTCACGTCAAGTTGGCTGTTTAATTTATTATGTACGAGTTCTTTGTGAAAAATTTGAACTTCTGCATGTCCCCTTTACATGTGCATATATATATATATATATATGCATATGCATGCTCGTCAGGTATGGCCAACATTTAAGATTGTGTTTGGGTCTTGAATTTATGCGGGATTTGTACATAGAAAAGGGGAAGAAACAAACAAAAAAAAAAAGTAGAAGAGAGAATTCTAGTTTTTACTTCTTTTCCTTTCCTCTCCTTCTGCAAATCAGTATACAAATTCAAGATCCAAACATAGTTTGAACGAGAAAGAAAAAGAGGGGGTTGCCTTTAGGCCCCGTTTGTTTGGGGTTATAGGAAGGGTATTGGGATTACTAATACCTTGGTATTACTAATATCTTTTTTGTTTTGAGAGATAGCCTTGGGACTACTAATACATTGGTATTACTAATACCCTTGGAAGGGGGATTCATAGTGAGGAGGTAGAGATGATATTAGAAAAATAGTGAAGGGATTAGAAATTTTTTTATATTTTATATATTGGGAATTTTTTTTAAAATATTAATGTTTAATTTTTATATTTTTTTATTTGTTTTATTATTTTATATAAAAATAATTTAACAATTTCTCACTATTAATCCCCTCACTATCAATCCCTTCATTAACAATCCCCTCACTATCAATCCCCTTCATTCTATCTCTGAAAACAAACGGGGCCTTAATTCGATACTATGGATCCAGTCTAGCAAAATATATGTTTGGCTACAGTATTCACTACCAAATTTATGAATTTTATAGGATTTATTCAAATTTTCAGTTACACAGGCTTCTATACTTTGATATATTAGAATCTGGTTGAGTGTTTTTTTTTTTTTTGGGTTGGGATATGGAACAGGATTTCGTTAATTCATTTTTTTTGCTTTTGTTTGGTTGTGATTAGTGAGAATTTTATTAGAAAAGAAAAAAGTATTACCCTCCTAATTAGAAAATAAACAAAAAAAAAAAAGGAAAACAAGACTAGTAATGATAAGAACGAAAGGGAATGTGCCAGTTTTTACACAACAAATTAAGATTCAAGAGTTTAATAGATTTAATTTGGGATTTTTATTGATAAATTTCATTTAGAAGTGTTTTAATCTAATAAGTCTATGAAGGAATTTTTTAACCTATTTAGTTTCATGTATGTGTAGTTTTATTCCGTAAAGTCATTTTTCTTGATTTACACTATTTTCTTGGACACTTATGCCCTTATATTTAATTTTGATATTTTTATAAATATTTTTTGAACGGTTAGTAATTTTATGATGTGAACATTCATATTTTAAAATTCACATTGGTAGGAATGTAAAATTGACCCGTGGGCGGTTCGAAATCTGCCCGCGAGTTGGGGCGGGACCGGCCCGTTGTCAATGTGAATATTCACATTAATAGGAGTGTAAAATTGACCCGTGTCTCGTGGCGGCGCGAAATTCGCCCGCGGCCCATGGACGGCTCGGGGCGGGTCCGGTTCGACTCGTTGACAATGTGAATATTTACATTGACATGTTAACATTCACATTAATAAGAGTATAAAATTGGCCCGCGGTCCATGGGCGGCCAAAAGCCTGCCCGTGGCCCGGCCCGTTGACAATGTGAATATTCACATTGATATGTTAACATTCACATTGATAGGAGTGTAAAATTAGCCCGCGCCTCGTGGCTACCTGAAACCCGCCCATGGCCCATGGGCGGCCAGGCTTGTTGATAATGTGAATATTCATATTGACATGTTAACATTCACATTGATAAGAGTATAAAATTGGCCAGCGGTCCAAGGCAGGCCCGATCCTGCCCGTTGACAATGTGAATATTCATATTGGCATGTTAACAGTCACATTGATAAGAGTGTAAAATTGGCCCGCAGCCTGTGGGCGGCTCGAAAACCAACCGTAGCCCGAGGCGGGCTTAGCCCGACCCGTGATAATGTGAATATTCACATTGACATGTTAACATTAACATTGATAGGAGTGTAAAATTTGCCTGTTGCCCGAAGCTTGCCCGCGGCTCGGGGTAGGCCTGGCCCGGCCCGACCCGTTGACAATGTGAATATTCACATTGACATGTTAAAATGCACATTGATAGGAATGTAGAATTGGCCCGCGACCCGTGGGCTGCCTGAAGCCCGCCTACGGCCCGGGACAGGCTCGTTTCAGTCCGAGTCCGAGCATGTCCGAGACCCTAGGTTAGGGCCTAGGTCATCACTTTGAAGCCCGGTTTGGCCTATCGGCCTGCTTAAGGCCCATTCAAGGCTCGGTCCGAGGCCCAGCCCGCCCGAGGCGCAATGCATTTTTTTGTGGAAAATAATAAAATTTTGGTAAAAAAAATTAAAAAGAATTGAAAAAAAATGGCGAGGCCCTCCTAAGCCCAACCTAAGCTCGAGGCTAGGCCCAGGACCACTGGGCCGACTCGAGGCTCGATCCATCGGCCTGTCCAAAGCCCGAATATCCTTGTGCCCTCGGCTTAATTTTTTGGCCCGTAGGCCAGCCCGACCTGGCTCGGGAAAGGCTCGTTTGGGCCCAGGCTCGAGCCTAGTCCGAGACCCTAGGCTAGGGCCTGGGCCATCACTTTGAAGCCCGACCCGGCCCATCGGCCCGATTAAGGCCCATTCAAGGCTCGGTCCGAGGCCCGGCCTGCGCCAAGGCCTAGTGTTTTTTTTTTGTGGAAAATAATAAAATTTTGGTAGAAAAAATTAAAAAGAATTAAAAAAAAATGTCCAAGCCCGCCTCAGGCCGCCCACGGGCCGTGGGCGGATTTTGGGAAGCCACGAGACACGGGCTAATTTTACACTCCTATCAATGTGAATATTCAACAGGCCGGCTAATTTTATACTCTTATCAATGTGAATGTTAACATGTCAATGTGAATATTCACATTGTCAACAGGCCGGGCCGGGCCCGCCCCGGGCCGCCCACGGGGCCGTAGGCTGGTTTCGGGTAGCCATGAGGCGCGGGCTAATTTTACACTCCTATCAATGTGAATGTTAACATGTCAATGTGAATATTCACATTGTCAACGGGCCGGGCTGGGCCCGCCTCGGGCCGCGAATGGGCTTTTGGCCGCCCATGGGCCGCGGGCTAATTTTATACTCTTATCAATGTGAATGTTATCATGTCAATGTGAATATTCACATTATCAACAGGCCGGACCGGGCCCGCCCCGGGCCGAGGGCAGTTTTTGCGCCGTCACGAGACGCGGGCTAATTTTACACATCTATTAATGTGAATGTTAACATGTCAATGTGAATATTCACATTGTCAATGGGCCGCCGGATTTTTCCCAACACCCACGAGGATCGACATGGGCTGGACCCCTACACATTGACGATATGAACATTCACATTGACGGTGTGAACATTCATATTAGGGGTATTTTTTAATTATGTCACCTATAGGATTTATTGAAACATAAGAAAATAATGTGAACTAAATGGAACATAAGTAGATGAAAAAGGTATTTTGGTCTTCTTATCTCAAATAGGACCTAATGAAATAGTAAAAAAGAATATGGGTTGGATGGAATAAAACTCTTAGAAAGTGAATTTATCAAAAAAGTTTCCTTTCCCACTGGATTTTCCAGTAGCCCACTTTATACTACGAACTTATTTTTATCAATTCAAAAATTACTTAGAATTTTTATTTTGTGATTTAAGTTTATTTTATATATAGACTTCAAATTATATAAATTAGGAAAGGTTGGTTAGTGGTGAGGGAGAGTATGGAAAGGTTGGTTAGTGGTGATGGTTTTAGAAAATATAATAGGGAGAAAAAATTACAAGGAAAATATTGAAGAACAAAATGAAAAAACTTACATTTCCCCCCTAAAAAATACCTTATGTGAGGGTCACATGTCAATTTTTGTTAGGCAAGTTATCACCAAGCTAACGAAAGGGCTAAATTGCAATTTGATCAAAACTGCAAAAACTAACTGTTACAATTGAAAAAATAAGGCTCTAACTAAGAATTGATGTTGCTATTTAAAAAAAAAATAAAAATTCTAAGAATTGATGCAAAGATCTGGGTGTACAATCTAATCTATCATTACATTTTTTACCATTTGAAATTTATTCTGATTTCTCATCTTCTCATTAAGACAATTAGGTTTTGTGATTTTTTCCGTCAATTTACCGTTTAAAATTTGAATGAAATTTGAGAAGAAGAAGAAGAAGAAAAAAAAAAGTAATAAAGTAGAATTTTAGTAAAAATTTAAGGGTGAAGAGTGTAACTTACCTTAGAAATTTTTTCATTCTCTTTAGACCATGTTTGGATCTTGGATTTGAATAGAAGCTCGTGAAGAGAAAAGAAAAGAAAAGATAAATGTAAAAGAATAATAATAATATTTCATTTACATTTGCCTCTTTTTTTTTTCCCTACTAGTTCTTCCTCAAACTCAACAAGTTTTAAACATAATCGTAATTGTGGGGACATAATTTTTGAATGACAACACGTGACCAAGGTGATACCGAAGTGTCAGCTGAGGTGCCAAGTGTCCTGGTCATGACGCCGAGATAATCTCGGCGAGGTCGAGGTTATCTGCGAAGATACCGGAATCCGAGATAAGCAGATAAAGGACAAGAGTCCTAGAATGAGAGAGGACTTCAGTTTGGATAAAGATAAAATTCTTAGAGGGTTTATCCCAATCTAACTAGGAGTCCAAGATTAGCATTGAGGCAGAGTCTATTGAAGCTAGGCTTCTATAGGGATCAGGTCAGTGTTGGTTATAAAAGTAAGGCACCATCGTGGCTCTAAGGTACGCTTTTGATATTTTGAATAATGAGTTAAGCACTTTTGCTATCTTTGAGAGATAACTGACTTGATCGTCGGAGTCCCCCCGGGTAGAAGAACCACTGTCGGAGTCTCTTCCTTTTGTTACAGGTCGTTCGGGCGCAATCTATTCTATCGGTGTTCTCTAGCTGAGTACCTGGTTGATAGTGTGGTCAGAAAACAACAAACACAATTTGGCGCCATCTGTGGAAAAAAAAGGAGAATAGATGACCAACGACGGACAAAAAGAAAAGGTTGGGGACGACATCCCTACTGGGAGTGGTAAGCACATTGACCATAACATGGAGAAGGATAATTGCAACGAAA